CATGAATAAGTGTTGCTCGAAAGGAACAATTTTTTTTCTTTATCATATTTTTTCTAGCTTTAGGGAATTCCGATTTCGATTACCCGCGCCGGGTTCCAACTGTGTCTCTCATTGGGACACACATTAACCTTTACACTAGGCACTGACACACTTGCTAGCTTTTCTGCCTGTGGTCAGCAGTCGTACAAGGCCTTCCGTGACACATACGTGACAGAAAATGGTCAAAGAACCATGCTTACGGCGGAACACGAACCCACGACCCTTCAGACCGAGGCGCTATGCCAGCACACGCCCCAGACACCTTGGCTATCCAGGTCGGCGCTCTAAAGAAACGGAAACTTCTTACATGAAGTTTAGTAGTAGAAACTAAAATTCATAATTTTATTTTCTGTAATTAAAAAAATGCTTCAAGGTCTAATCCTAAATATCATTTTCAATTATAAATATTATATTCCAAGATTTTTGTTAAATACTTTTCATTAGTACGTCAATCATTTCACATTTATGAATATGCTTTAAAAGCAATCGAAGAAAAACATCGAACATCAGTTTTGAATCCTCTTTCAAACTTGGAAGGATTGCTATTCAACGTTGTTAGACGTTCGTTTAACCTATTGATCATCAGACGACGCTCCCCGTCCCGAGTTATTTTATTCCTCTGCCCTTTTATTCCATAGAGAACCTTAACTCTTAACCTCCCGTCCTTAGCTCTACAGTGGTTCGAATGCCCCTTGCGGTCCAGAACGTTTGTACGTTTGCACGTTTGTACTCACTGACCTATATAATATTTTCTGAAAAATAGGAACATATCAAATTTTATTCATATATTATCTCGTACACATCTCTGTAAATATTCAAAAATGTTCTTTGAAACAGAAACTCTAGTAGCATATTTTGGTATTTAAGGGAAAGTGGCGCTTAGGAACGCAATGAATTTCAGTTCCATATGTAAAAATTTTCTTACGTGTTTGGAATGGTGACCGAGTCAGAGTGTAGACAGGACGCGAATGACAAGAGTCACGTATGTGAAGGGGATAGACTCTCATTCTGTGCCTATCGGTCCGGTTATTGCTGTGCAAAATTATATGCACAGTCAACTTCGAATATAGAGACATTCCTATAATAATGAACTAAAATACCCGGTATCGAACCACATACATTAAACATAAACACTATGCTATTTATTTATGGTGATCTGTCTTCGTAGATTATAGTGTACACAGGAAAGACAACGGCCAGGGAAACCTCTTTGTCTCAGGACAGCGAATTCCAATAACACTAAACGTTTGCAGGTGAGGGATCTGGTGAGTTATATTTGTAGCATGGACGTCAAATGTAATGGACTGAGGGAACGTAAGAAGTTTCAGCTCATTTACGGCAATTCTGTCGACCATGGATTCTTTAACGACTCGTAATGCAAGATGAAAACTCGTGAAATCCTGTCTGATCAAGACATTGTGAATGCTGTGAAAGGGGTCTGAGGAAAACGAGTGTGTTGACGAAGAGAACACAAATGAAGTGTTTCATAAGGAACACGAGTCATTCAAGAGTATGAAGATTGCACTAAACTATTGTGAGTGGTGACTAAATTCAAGCAAAAGTATTAATAAACTGTACACAGCAACTAGTAATAAAAATTGTTATTTTAAGGCTAAATGAATAGCGTTAGTTCAAATTATTGATATGCAATGAATTTCACTAAACCTCTGTAATAATAAAATCTGTCATGGAAGATAAACTGTTGTATTTTCGTATTATCCGATATTGACAACCAAACATTTTTATCCCCATAGGTTCTCAATAATCTGAGTCGACTGTTTGAGCAAAAGAAAGCTTGTAATAGCTGGCATAGATATAAAAAATATAATACTTTACTTTCATTGCTTTTTTGTACTATGATTCTCTGTAATCCTTTGAACGCTTTATCACATGTCCCTTTGTGTATCAATCAACCCATTCAATATGATTCTCAAACGTTTGAAAGAAACACTCCATAACTGCAACAAATGCCACACGTGGTGAGAACTACTATTAAGATAGAAACTTAAAATTTCAAATAAGCAATATAACTTATGATAAGAAAACATAGAAAGTGAAAATAATTAGGTGTCAGAAAAAAAATTTTTGTCCACAAATCTATGATTAGAAAATCAAAACGCACTTTGGATGGCGTAGATATGGTAACGCCCCAACCCAAGTACATTCGTATTGATTTCAGGAGCGTAAGCCACTTAAGTATTTAATCCCGTAAGTATAGTGAATATTATACGCCGTGAGTTGGCATTGCCTATCCCCTACTAAAACTTGGAATCCTACACCGACCTACACGTCGCTTGTGGGAGTTCCTCTCCAGGCAACTCCCCCAGCGGGTCACCGCCGCAACTGGGACAAGCACTGAACATCCGAATTATGTGCCAGTGTAATACACGTACAAGTACTGAGTGCATAACAAGAGAGGAGGGGGACAAAATAATTATCGTGCGCGGTCCGTGACCCATTTATTAGTAATTTGTCTGTTATTGGCCAGAGAAACCACGGAGAACCACCGATCAGAACCACTATAATTTTCCTCCAGGCAATCATAGAATTTGATTCATTGACTGGTTAATTTATTGATGATTCAGGGCCCGTCAACTGCTACGGTCACTAGGCCTATTAATGTGTTATATAGAGATAGGAGTGATTACTCCCACCCCGGATAGTGAGATCGGGCGTCGATATGCATGTCATCTTGCGTGAGATTCACCCCCCCCCAATATAAGCCCCACCTGGGTCGAGCTTCAAGCTCCCGGCCGGTCTCCCAACGTAGGTGGTAGTGTAGTGCAAGTTAATGCAAGCGTGTGTAAGTGTAAGGGGAGATGATAAGACAAGGAATAGGAAAGAAAGGTCGCGCGCGGGCCGGGGACTGTTTGTTAGAGTACTTCTTCGTCATTTACCTTGTGTACATCGAATCTGATGATTCTGACGAATGTACAATGACGATCTCAGCAGCCGATCGGACAGCATCGGGACCCGACCTCCAGGACCTCCAAGTCAGAATCTGTATAAAGTAAGCGGTAACAATAGCTCTGACCTAAACATTCGGTGGTAGAATTTGACCTAATTATGTAGCTATTCTCCAAAATGCCCACTGTCTGCACTCTTAACTCTAGGACTACCCAGTCAAGGATACTGCACAGGCAATGAATAATATCTTGTGAAATGCGAAAACTTTAAGTGAGTATTGCGACGTGTTAGTAGAACCTTTTTACCCACGAATCCAGAATACGAACACAAATAAAACGCGCGTTGGCTGACAAAGCGTCCTTTTCGAAAGACGAGCAGAGCGCGGGAGTGCAGTGGCATTGGCGGCGACCCTGGCCGCGCGCTCTTCTCCTCGTTGATGCCAGTCACGCTCCCGGCGCGCGCAACCGCCCGCGCACGAGAATGCCGGCCCTGCCCGCCCAGTTACCTCTGCCCCCCCACCCGTCGCCCCGCCGCGCAACCGCCTGCCACCCCGCCCCCCTCCAGACCCGCCCGCCCGTCCACCTAAAAAAAAAGGCCCACCTGGCTGGCCTATAGGTCCTGTCACCGCTTGCGTGGAACGCCGCCCGCCCGCCCGTCACCCCCCACCGTCCCATCCGTCCTCCCGCCTTGCCCGTCCACCACAAACTCCCGCCCACTTGTCCACCCGGCTTGATGAACCCGCCACACCGTCCACACGCACCCGACCGCACACCAAACCGTCCACCACCCGTCCACCCACAAGACAGCATCACCTGCTGGCCTGCCTGTTCACCGCCCACCTGTCCCCGCCGCCCGGCCGTTCACCCCGACACCCCGTCCCACACCGTCGCCTGCCCGCCCGGCCGACAACCACAAACAGCTTCACCTGCTTGCCTGCCGTCCAACCCGCTGCTGAACGGCCCGTCAGCCCACACTCCCGCCAACCGCTGCCCCACGATGACTGCCCACGTTCCCTTGCGGTCCACGCGCACCGCCTGCGCATCCCGCCTGCCCGCCGACATCGACGCCCGCCCATCCACGCGCCACGCACGCCTCCTCACGCTTCGTGCGCCAGAGCACGCGTGGGTTTGCAAGCTTTTCGTGGTTTTCGTTATTGCGCGCTGTACTGTTGCTCTGCTTTTCGAAATTAAAAACCGGGAGATGTGGCTCAGGGCATCAACTGAAGTCACTTCTGTGTCTCTGACGGAAGATCCGAGGGTTCCAACCCCAAAAGGGGTAGGAGGTTCGGCACTAGCTGGTTAGGTCAAATTCAGTCGCTGTCTGGCGGAGAATTCCAGCGATCTGTTGCTATTTCAGTAGTTTTCCATGGTTTCTCCGATCAATATCAGACGAATGCCGAAGCAACACCCTAGGAAAACAGGCGTAGACCGTACGCGATTCCTTGTCCTATCATCATCAATTACTACAAACTCTTACACTTACATGCCCTACACTATCACACATGCCGGGAGACGGGCCGGGAGTTTAGAGTTTGATCCAGGTGGGACCATGCCCCGCTGGTGGGAGATCCCTAGTTGGGAAAACCCCAACACTAACCGGCAGTAGGTCGGCAGTGGATCTCGCTATACAGCGAGGGAAAGATTGCCGCCCCCTCCCGAGCAAAACTAGCATGCACTACACTTACGGGACTAATGACCCTGTTAATTTTAACGCTGTTGCAGTGGTTTTATTGCTTAGCGAAACGTAGGCTTTCGGGACAGGAGTCAATAGATACTTGGCTGTCCGGGAGACGGTGCATTGGTATATCTCCCAACGTTTCGGGTAGCAATCTGCGACCTTCCTCAGGGCGAAAAAAGGATTTCGGGCTTTTCAATTCTCTTGGTATTTGTCACCCTGTGAACGTCCTTAGGGCGAAAAAGATTTGGAAGGTTTTCAATACATTTTATATTTTTGCCCTAAGAAAGGTTGCAGGTAAACCGCCGAAACTTTGGCAATATTTCTTGGACGCGGTGCCTAACGGAGAGCCATTACTACGCTTCATATCACTTCTAATTTCAGAACTGTAAAAATTAAAATTTAACTCTATAGCATCTGTATTGTGCTTTATAGCTCGATGCGGTTATATATTTGTCCACTGGTGCTTTTATTGGTACATCTGCGAGACCTGGTAGTCTGTCTAGGTGTGTGGAGGATGCAGTCTGTGAGTCGGAGTTTATCGCGAATGTAAGTCTACCTGTGAGCCTCTCAGATTTTGTTTGCCTGTTTCTTATTCAATCGTCTGACTATTCGTATTTAACAATCGTATGTACGGGACTATTCAGTTGATCATCTGGAAATATTCAGCCCAAAGAGTACGAACAATATTGGCAGCAGTTCTAAATTTTCTTTACACTAGGCACAGTCTATTAAAAATACTTCACCTGTGCTTCTTGTTTTGGAATCAGCACAAACATACATTTTCACTTTCACTTCGATTCGTGGGTCCGTTTTTGTTCTTTGAAATGTAAAAGGTTTTTAGAATTTGTTTCTGGAGGTTTTAACTGACGATTTATTGCAGTGAATTTGTAGTATTTATCGTTGAGATACCTTTATTCAAGCTTGGCTTTATATACTTATTTTACAACTCTCTCAAGTAATGAAATCCAACAAATTTTACACTAATTTTTTTAATTTCCGCTAATGAAATATTAACACTTTCGCAGTCATATGTACGGTTAACATCACCCAATGAATTACGTGACTTAGCGGAGTGAATCATGGGCTACGCGATGCAGGTGTCGAGTGAGGAAGATGGCTTTATAATGACAGCGGCGGCATCCCACGCACATATTGCTGCAACTCATGGCGCGTGACCAGTTTTTCTGCGCACAGATATTACGTTGAAGATAGGCGGGTTGGGGCAGAATATTCGCACGCTCGTTCACAGGACACACGCAATTCTGCAGAGTATACAAGATTCAAACATCATGTTTTCTGAAGAATAATTACTTTTACAACTTCGTAAATATACAATGTGTGACTTTGATATGTCTACTTAATTGTCCTCTAATATCGTCCTAACCTTATTCTGGACATTCCACCTTTCCCACTTGCTTTCTTCTTTTCTCAAAAACCCGATAGCCCTATATAATGCGTTTCCAATCTGCTTTTTCCATGTCCCTCTGGTTGCATTTCATAACCCACAACTTACTATCTCTCTTCTTTCACTTTCCTTGCATTTCCTTTTAAAATAATTAGGAATATCATCCAACTGATGTTTTCGGTGATGTTTTATATTATGCCATTTTCATTGTTGCATCATTGTTGTGTCTCTCTGCAGTCGAAATCCGTTAATTCGATAATAGACAGCTTAAACTTAAAAATATCTAAGTGTCCGATAAAACTAAAAAATACAAGATTTTCAAGTTACGATAATAATATATCACTTTTAAATGTTTACGGAAAGAATCTTGCATAATATTCTAAGCGTGAAAGGAATACATTTTCTTTGATATCCGATCAGCAACAAGGAGACATAAATAGGCAGAACAGTGAATTGACAAAGAGGATCGTGTGAATACGTTCCTAGTTCGTATCAATTGCAGTAATTTACTGCTGGGGTCCGAAATGTACACTCATTTTCCGTTTTCTCGGATACTTAAATGATGTCTTTCAAACGCAGTTGTGTGTTTGACTATGAGAATGTTTTGGCGCTTTGTCCCGTGGCAATCCTGAGGATTTTCTGTGTCACTACACCATTTGTTGATGAAACATGGACACACCACTACACTCCTGAGACAAATGAACAATCAAAGCAGAGAAGTTTTGAAGGCGAACGGGCTTCGAAGGAGGCAAAGACAGTAAAATCGGCCGGCAAGGTTATGGCCACGGTTTTTGGGGGGTGATCGCATAATTATTTTCATCGAATATTTGGAAGAGGGCAAAACAATAACAGGAGAGTATTAAGCTTCATTATTGAACCGCCTGAGCAAAAAAATCAAGGAAAAACGTCCTTATCGGAATATGAAAAAAGGCCCTTTTTCATTAAGACAATGCACGGGTCCACTCCTGCGCAGTTGTGGTAGGCAAAATTTTGGAATTAAAGTTTCAATTATTACAACATCCAACAACAACTTTGGGGTACGGTGCGGGTTGTTCATGGCAATGAAGTTCTCGGACAAACTTGTGGAAATACATTATTGAAATGCTATTTAATGTGTCTTAAAAGTTATTTTTAAGGAATTGTTTATGTAACTCGGTGTTCATGGGCAACATATTCAGTTAAAATATTAAAATGGAATATTTTAATATCCTTGTTTCTATTTCGTTTCTCTTCGCAAAATTATTGTGAACGGTATCTCCATAGATATTTATAACATTATAAGTTTAAACATCAACTTCCGTTCGTGATATCTACATTTGTTACTAAGACATTTTTAAGCTGCCGTCATGTACTGTAGGTAAATATGGCGTTGTGCATTTTCTTGGGTGGTACGGGTTTGAAACAGCAAAATGCAAAGAGAAAAATTAACAGCCGTTTGAAAAAATTAAGTTAGTGTTCATATAATAGCAGTTCGTATCAGATCTTTTCATAGCACTTATATGTCTTCTCTCTGGAAATACATTACAACAGAAAGTGTCAAGCAATCATATGCAAGTTGCAAACATTTATACATTCAAATCGTGAAGTGTGGTAGCAGCCGAGATCATGCCATAAAAACATTGACCCTTAGTTCTCATCCCAGAGTGAAAGAATAAACAGATTCTCTTACCTGCTTGGGAGTGCAGCGACAAAAACTCTTATAAACGGGAATGGTGATAAAAGTAGATATTTTATTGTGTAAAAACCAGAGTTAATTAAAACGAAGCGATGTGATTTGCACATTTTGTGACTGAATGACCGTTTTGAATGGGAGAGAATTGCGTTTTTATTAAATAGGCCACATTCAATTCTCTCGTAAGGATTTCTGTACGATCAGCTGAAAGATGTCCCATTAAATACTACCAAACATCGTCCTACAACTGGTTCTTCAGGTCACTAGGGACATCTATGAAAGCAACCACTCAGCATTTCAGGAATCGATCAAACACATCTTCATACACAAAGAGACCTACATAATATTTTGAAATGGTCTTTACTGCCTAATTATTTAAGTCATGAACGAAGTGTCTCATTGGGATATTTTCGGTTTGAATATCTCTCTGTACTTCCAAACCGTGAACAAGCTCACCTTATTCGCATTAACGGAGCAAGGAAAAAATTACTTAAGGCATCCACTACATGCAGAAATGTGTGCCAAGACTGTGCCCTTTCAGTAATTTATGTATTAATAATGTATGATCTTCTGCTTCAGTGCTTTTTTACATAAGTAAAACTCTTTGGAAATATTATACCTATAGTGTGACGTAATACTTAGCTAAAATATGGTTTTGTACGCAACACTGTAAAATATAAAAGATTTTGTTTGTTGAAATAATCTACTGTCATTTACTGCGTGCTAATAAGTTAGTTACGTTTTATGAATGGTAAATAAACTTACTGACCCACTACGTAATTCACTTTCTATATTTTACATGTAAATAAATCACAGTGTTTTTATGTGTATATATTGAGATATACCATATATCGTAAGGAATCTTTTTGTATAAAAAGTATAAATAACACAGGAGGTTATTTATACTTTTTATAGACAGGCTTACTGAGGTTAAAACCGTAATGGAAAACATGACAGGACATCGCATTCATCAACATACACTATGGTAATCATTTTCTGCATTAGTGAAAATAAAACAAACGAATTTCAGGACTTGTATTTGTTCGAAGCTAAAATGGGCATAACATGTCCAACGTTGAGCATTAGGGTTAATTATTAGAAACGGTTGATGTACGAAATAAACTAGAATGGAAAAGAAAATATTTTATTATTTCATCAAAGGCGATATTTTCAGGAAGAATACAACAACCAGTTGGTTCACGGTTTGCTACCTTGCATGTAACAAGAAAAAAGAAATATGACAATCATCAGGCTAAAATTTCCAATGGCACAATTATTTATAACATATCATGAACAAAAGAAAGGAACGTGGGAGAAGTCATGCTGTATTTTGGCGTCTTGCTAGACAGAATCATTTCAGACTTCGTGGATGTAGGATACGAACACTGGCAGACATATGTAAGATCTGTTTCGGAATTTTATTGAGATAATAGTTTGATTTTATATCTTATGTACCAAGAAATTGACTTGTTTGAAATTTATGTCCCTTTTTGTAATTTGGAAGTAGAATGTGTAGAAAGCACGGAGCGTACATATCGCGATAGAATGTTTATCCTTGACATTACCGCTTAATTTACAAATAGATTTTTCTTCAATATTTATAGTATATTTAAATTAATTGAGGTCAGTGAAAGATTCAGTAAATTTGTAAGAGATCTGAGAATTTGCATTCAGAGAAATAGAAAAAAATACTTAGTAATAGTTTTCAATATGTTGCATACCGAATTCTAGTATATTAATTATTATTTAGGGTGAGCTCGTGGTTCATGCTCTTATCATACACGAGTTATGTATCCATTCCTGATGACACATTTTGAAATTTTAAAAAAACATCTATGAACAATTTTGACATAAATTAAACCAACTATTTCCATTCATTAACAAGACCAAATAATACAATAATGTATTTTACAGAATATATGCAACTTTCATTAATGGAAACAAATAGTTGAAAATCAATTGCAAAGAATAATTTAATCTTTCCATGTATCCTCCGATAAATGTTATATTAAAATATTGATAATGAACAAAAATATTGGAAACAAGAACTAACATACAGACAAAGACCCATTATGGTGGAGGGGGATGTAGATTTCAAGCTATATCTAAAATTTACGTGAGTGCAAATTATACTATCAAATTTCAATATCTGATTACGTATATGACTACTGACCACTGTGAAAGCAACATTTAGTTTCAACAATATGCATAAATTCATTTTGTAAATAAATACAGACGAAATAATTTATGAAGATGAAATAATTTGTTAAAAGATTTTACATATTAACAATATAATTCAACAATTAACATACAATATCTTAGTCAACGAAACGTTTTAGAAGCGATTTTTTACAAGTTCGTTACGAGAAGGAGGTTTCGAGAAGTTGTTATTTACGACACCAGAAAACATTGAACCAAATTTGTAATTAAATGCGGGTTAACGCCGAGGACATTAGGAATGTTCATATTTTCGGGCTCAGCTAATTCGTCATTGTCTCATCACACATCATGTTTCCCAACAGTCTCGTCCATCATCACGTCACAGGTGTGAGCCCATCTGCCTTGAAACAATACCACACACACATTTATCCTCACCCTAATCGGTCTCTTGGCGAAGCAGGTCATTGCCACACGCACTCCCACGCCACGCGTGTTCTCGCTAGTATAAAACTCTGTGCGGATGATTCGGCGCGGCGAATGCCTCTGTTTTGGACCAGCGAACCAGTTGCGCACCGCGCCGGCCGTCACTCGCCCAAAGCTGCGCGCCTGCTGGAGACAAACTCGAAATCATGTAAGTGGCAATGCAACGAGACGCAGGCGGGGCGTCCAATTCTGCAGCAGTGTGTATTATGACTGGACCTCGCATTTCAGGACAAATGCCTATTAAGTTCTTTGGAAGGTTTTGGAAAATAATTGCAGATGTTTACGAATTATGACAAAGTAGATCTACTGAAAACGTCTTAAAGTGCCTAAAATGACCTGAAAGAAGTGTCCCTGGGGTTGACGCCTATTTCAATTTTTCTACGAATTAAAGTTCTGAAGAATTGTTATTACTAAATTTTTAAATTTGTTATACTAAAACGCACATTCTTTCCCAAATTCCCCGACTCGAGAATAATTCCTGATCAAATACGCAATCGACCACGCACCGATCTCTCTCATTCAACACACCGAACCGGAACTCAGTTCTGAAAGTCAATAAAAAGAGGATGTTTCACGCTTGTTTCCGATCTGCAAGGACTTACGCAAAATCACCCATTTCCGAAGCAGCTGCGTTGTTGACAGATTGAGAATGAAAAGTGTGAAAGAAAGAAATTATTGAATGAATTAATGAAATGAAAGGTAATGAAATAATATGATTCTTGTCGCTCTCGTATATGTAAAAATATTTGATTTTTCTAAAGAATAAAAAGTGTCTAATGTAATTCTTTTGTGATCAATTTAAGATGTCAGAAATATAACGTTTCATTCTAATGTTTGTTAAATGCCTGGTTTTATAATTTTCTAAGCTATTTTAAGGGTCTAAACCGCCACTTTTCATGCATGATAGTATCTAATTTGATAATTTTGTTACCTTTAGTAGGTGCATAAATTATCACTTGTTTGTGCCTAAAATTTGTAGGTCTAATTATGACGCGTGTGTCAAAGGAAAGTGATGCAATGAAACAAATTACTAACGCATGCACTACACATGTTTAGTGATTGCAATGCTTGTTTTGCTCCGGTCTAGGGATTATAGTCGATGCTTTCTAAACAGATTTAGTATGCATACATGCTTTACCTGCGCAATGTTTATCTTCTCGTGCATCTTTCTCCCTTTTTTAACAGCCGTTGAGTTTAGAGATATATTGTGATTACTATTCCACTCAGAAACCTAACACCAATAGCATTGAACCCTACGTGTGGCATGTACGAATCACGATATATACCTTCAAAATCATGTTTTTTCCTTACCACGTTCTCTCCACTTGTCAGTGGGCAGGTGCAATACATCGCTCAGAAGACGCGCTCTTATGTGCACTTGAAGCGCAAAATACCGTAACTAATATTTGGCGCATTCTGAAACTTTTTGAAAGCAATTTCATTCGACAGTTAGTCTTATTAGCGCATGTATTAGATATTTCTAAATAAATTTCCTCGATGCTATGGTTCAAGAATTTCTCGAAACTTTCCAATGCACAAGTGGTAATATTTACGATCTTTGTGGGCTTTTGCACAATGTAAGATTAATTAAGAAAATAAATTAAAAAGAACATTATCTTAGAAAGAATAAGAAATAAATTAAAAAGAATATTTTTTTAGTCTCATTTGATGAATTCTGATGGAATTTAATCGTTAATGTGTATAAGAAGCATCTTGCAGTATTTTACGTATAGTACTTAATCGGAAAAAGATTTTATGAAATCCAATCGTCATTCATATTACTCACTGAAGCAAACTCAACCAGAAAGTTTTAAATACATTTACCCAACATTTTTTAAATACAAAATTTGAAAAATAAACTTTTCCGTGATTGCAAGGTATCTGTTGTCAAAAATCTGTAATTAATAATGACGATACGGACTGAAATTTTCAGACTATAAGTTACAAAGATGAATGTTCCCTTAACCTATAAAGTATTTTCAGAAATGTAGTAAGTACAATATATTGTTTGTTAATAGTTTAGTAGAAAAATGTTGAATTCCACACGGATAGAACATTGACGGTAATAAATTCAACTTGCTGTTGCAGATTTATTAAATGACCTCACGTATAAATCCATTAAATACTCTTGTGTGCATAATTTATGTTAACTATTAAAGCGTGTAAGTAGTTCTGTGTAATACAGTGGGTATGCTGTTTCAATTGTTTTCGCAAGCACTAAAGACGTGGAGGGTAATCCAATTCGAGGACGTTGCGTGATTCTTGCAGAAATGGATACCTTGCAAGAAAGATTAGAAAAAAACAAAGGAATACACATCATTTCACTGCCTCTCAACATTCGCAGCAATTCGTTACTCTTTGGAGTTTCTCCTTGCTCTAACAAGAGCTCATCGCTACAAGTAAAGTGGAAACTTTCACCTCCCTTCTCTCAAGAAGGTCGAACGACTTTGTCTAAAAATGACCAAATCCGAGTGTACGAAAGTACGGTCGTAAACTCGAAACCAAAATGTTACTTCTCTTCACAGAAGAACACAAGTCATTTGACATTCAAGAACTTTGGAACATCAACGTATCACGACTATTGTACGTTTCTTCTTTCGTAAGTCAAAGCTGGGAAAAATGCAAAAAAAATCATTCTCAAAATTGCGTACTTTGTCTTAAAAGGGATTGTGTAGCAATGAAAAGAGAAAAGAGTACATTCTGATCAAAAAGGGGAAAAACGCTTCTAGAAAGGGGGCATGATAAAGTGTGTGAAAAAGAAAAGTACAAAACAATGGATCACCTAATGCTATGAGTAAGTTAAGAAACTGAGAGAAAAGGAACAGACAGATGTACAAGAATGGTAAATTATTAGGTTATAAACATAATATCTAATAAATGATATTTGTGAATGGTCGAAAGTAGTTTTGAACTCTAATGACGTTTTAGGTTAAAGAAGAAGTAGTATCATCTTAATAGTAATTTATTGGATCAACATAACTGAATTCGTGATGGTGATGGTGAACTTATGTTGTAGCTAGCCTGAGGCCGCCCCACATAAATAAAGAGAATTGTGATGCGATCCAAAAATTTTTATGATGAGAGGGAACAAGATTTTTCTCGATTGTGTGGGTGTGCGGGGGGGGGGGGATACGGGGTAGTTGTAGCGTCCAGCCGACGTAATATTTTTGAAAAGTTTTTATTTTACGCTGAAATAACATGCATTTATATTTGTTGACTTATAGTTAATTTTACTTGTATAAAATTAACAATTGACATGTTAAATGACACGTTAGTACGAAAAATTCGCAAAACCTTTATTTTTAAATATGTATCGTTTGCTTGAGGGGGGTGACTGAACCTCCTCTCCCTTGAATGTTTCAGTGTTTGTGATCCATTAATGTATGATTCCACGACTTCTTTACCGATAGAAATATTTACGAAATTGTAGTACGATGTAACTTCTTAAGTTCCTTCTTTCTTCCAATGCAGTATCGATTCAAAGTAAACTAAAAAGTACGCTATCTTTTAATTTACATTACAAAAAAACTTTATTCACTACGTCATTCTTTAAAGATATTTTGGTCGTTTTAAACTACAAATTTTCCATTTCCATTGTAATATTCCTATTCTATTTACCCTTCGAATAATTCACATAGTGAAATAATTCCCAGAAAAATCTCAACAATTTGTAAAAACAATTATGCAAGCCCTATTATTTCTAATGTTCTGTAAGATTATATTTTACTTATTAACACAAAAGTAACGTTAAACGTTATAGGGAACACGTTTCATTTCAACTGTTCTTCCTCCAAGTTTAAACGATATTACCTTTCCAGGGAAAGAAAACTAGTAAAGCGAATTTATCAGTAAACGTTTGTACTTGGGATAAAATGAGTGATTTTGTAAAATCACTCAGTTAGGGAGACCCGCATCTTGAAAAAGGTCCCTTAGCTGGAAGATTACTCACACCTGAAAAATTTAACTATTTTTCAGGGAATTAAGGGTTTTACATAGGTTTTAAACGTGATTTACGACAGGATGTAACTTTATCATCAACACACATCCCGTTTTTGGTTGAAACTCTGACAAATAAGAGAACTTCATCAACCAGATTTTGATTTTAGTATCGAGAAAGATATTAGGATTTTAACGACTGGACGAGAAAAGACACCCCAAAACATCATTAGAACGGCGACCAAGTGGAAGGAGAAAATGAGGCAGACTAAGACCAGGATTAAACGACCAAGTCAAAAAGATAATCGAGAAGTGGAAATAATCCTCTGCTTCCTGGAAGAACAGAGAAGTCTGGAGAAGATTGGGCACCGGAAGACAGACGTAGCTGTTAAGAAACCGGCAAGAAGAAGACGATCGAAGACTCTCATTGGCACTACCCTGAAGGCCTTGCCTGAAGCGCTCCTCTTCCCAAGCGGTCCCTGCTCCGGGCTGTCGTGATTACCGAGGAATGGGCGGTGGTGGGCGGCGCGGCCTTCGCGAGCGGCAAGACGATGCACTTGGATGCTGCAGGCGGCGTGGCCCTCGAGCCCACCTCCCGCCCCCTCGCATCTGTGTACTCTGCCCCTCGATGGAGGCGATGGTGATGGTAGAGATGTGACTGGAACGGATGATAATGACGATGTACAGCGACACATGACAGCGTCGGATGACTGAAGAATAAGAGAGACCGATGATAATTGATTGATTGTTAATGATATCGGGCACTTCAACTGCTAAACACACTAGACCCGTAAGTGTAGTGTATGTATTTTCCTCGGGAGGGGCGGATATCCCTTTTGAATGATGAGATCATGGGAAGACCTACCGTCGGCTAGCTAGGCTTCCCAAACCAGGTATGTTCCTCTAGCGGGGCACCATCCCAGCCGGGACAAGGTGTAAGGTCCTGACCATCTCCCAACATGTGTGGTAGTGTAGTTCATGTCAGTGTAAGTGTGTGTAGTAAAGGGTGAGGATAAGACAAGGGAGAGGGAGCAAAAATCGCGCGTGGTTCGTTGCCCGTTTGTAAGGGTACTGCTCCGGCATTTCCTGGTGTTGATCGTAGACACCACGGAAATCAGAGCAGCCAGCCGCTAGAATTCTCCTCCAGACTGAACTCGATCTAGATGATAAGCTAGAGTCAAAAATCCTGC